TAGCAACATTTTTTTTTTTTTTTTTTGTCCAATCAACTGTTCCCGGTTTGGTAAGATGTCTGCTTAATTTTATATTAGCCTAATAGTATAAGGGATGTTTGTATGAATAAACCAAGCATATTCAAAAGACAAATCTTGTATGGACCCCCTAATTGCCAAGTGCCTTACAGCCCATAGGCTGTGCTCTCTGCAAACTTGAAATTAAATACAGATAAATGTGAATCCTTTCACATAGCCTCTGGAATCTTGGCTGCACATGGGAGATTTTATTCGATCATTATTTCTTTTAGTATGACATTGGTCCACAACCACAGTTAGCATGGGCTGTGTGTGTGGCAGATGGTAGCTCTGCTCAGGGAGAGGTGAAGGTGTCACATGTGTGTACATGCTGACTAAAGTTTAAGAATATTGCTTCTATATTTTTTGGTGTTTGAAAGGCTAGGATACTGTGAGAGTGGGGCCACCAGGAAAGGGGGGCTTCAAAGGACGTCAGGTCGGTTGATTTCTGACCTCAGAGTTCATACTGTGTGATTCAGAAACTTGTTTCTTCCCAAAAGAATTCCAGACATTCCGGTAAGATGTAGACTAGGAGAAGGGAGGGGCCCTGAGTTCCACCTAACAGCTGTCTTGTCTCTTTCAAGTTAAAACCAACTGCCCTCAGGGAGAAGAACCCTTCAGATTTTTCAGTGAGATCCTCAGATCCCAAAGCATTTCACGTACACCAATACCCTAGAGTGGGAAAAAGGCCAAAGGATGTGCCTGTCAGAAAAGATGGAGGTCTTCTCCAAAGGATGTGCCTTTTGCCTGTCAGAAAAGGTGGAGGTCTCCTGCATCATCTGTTTCTCTTCAGAACTGTTGAGCTCCAACTGTACAGAACGTGATAACTTATCACATCAGCTTGCCATATTTCCACAGAAAATAACTTAACCAGGAAATCATTTCAAATATCCCATCTGACACTCTTGAAATTCAGCTAAGGAAAAAGCATATATGTTATTCTTTTAAATTTTTTGCCTGAAAAGTGCCTTTATTTCGTTAAAACAAACAAACAAAAAAACAACAAACTACCACTTGGTGTAAGATCTGCTTACTGTACTAGTGATGTGACAGTCCTGGCGGGCTAACACGTCTCAAGGTCCCTAAACATCTTGATTACTTTTAATATCTTTTTTTTTTAAAAAAAAAAAACTTTTTATTTATTTTTATGAACATTGGTGTTTTGCCTGCATGCATGTCTGTATGAGAGTGCCAGACCCCCTGGAACTGGAGTTACAGACAGTTGTGAGCTGCCATGTCGGTGCTAGGAATCATACCCGGGTCCTTTGGAAGAGCATCCTGTGCTCTTAACTGCTGAGCCATCTCTCCAGCCCTAAGGTAGTATCTTTAACTGCACTCAGTTTAGAAAAGGAATACAGCTGAAACTTTGGGATGCCTACTAGGGACCATTATTTTTCACAGCATTAACACATCAATGTTTTATTTGCATATAAACAATAACACTAATTAGAGTAGAGCCAGACAGCAGGGGAGATATATCTAAAACATGCTTTTCCTAAAGAAACCTGTGGTCAGGGGAAGATGAGCCTGAAACACTGAAAATCAATACTTGGTTTAGGGTTTTTTTTTTTTTTTTTTTTTTTAAATGTGATGTAGTGTGCATGTGTGTGTATTCACACTTGCATGTGTATGTGAGTGCATGCACTTGTGGTGCACATGTTTATGTGCATGTGCATACACATTTGTGTGAGTGCATACATGTGGAGGCTTAAAGCTGACATTATGTGTCTTCCTCGATCATGCTCCCCTTTATGTATTGAGGCAGGTTTTCTCAAGTGAACCTAGCCTGGGGATCTGCTCTCTCTGCTTCCCAAGTGCTGGAATCACAGGCAGGAATAATGCTTGCTCCACTTTTGATGTAGGGTCTAAGGATCTGAACTTTCAGGCTTTCACAGTGAATACTTCGCCCACTCAGCTGTCTCCCTGGCCCACGTGGTTTAAATTTATCTCAGGATACTAACCCAAGAAATGAAATAAATGATGAGTTTGTATGCTGATGTCATGGCTCGGGGGTGAAAGGTCCCTTACAGGACACTCAGTTCCCAGCTGGTGCGCCCGCTCTCTAGCAGCATCTCTACATAGAGGAAGGGGGTGTTGGAAGCAAGTCTTGAGATTTATAGCTGGGCTCACTCTCTGCTTCCTGGACCACTGAGATGTGGACAAGCAGTCGTCAAATATTCCCACCACCCCAGAACCACTTGCTACCATGCCTTTCTCTCCATGACACATGGCACCCCCAAACTGTGAGCAGAATAAACCCCTCCTCTTCCTCTCTGAGCTGCTTTGTTGGGGTATCTGTTCACAATAACAGGAAAAGTGATGAACACAGAGATCTCTAGAAATATGACTCACCATAAAATGGGGAAGTGGAGAAAGTTTGGGCAGGAATTGGAAACTGAATTGTTCTGGAAGCAAGAAGGGATTTAGAAAGAAAGAAAAGATGGTCCTGAGAAAGGTGAACTATGTAAAGAGATATCAGTCTATCAAGAACTCCCAAGACAACAGGCTTGGTTATCACTTGTAGATGTAAATGGGTCATTGCTTAACGATGTGGTGTTTTTCCTTAAGAGCAATTCAGTGTCTACTGCCTGGCTGGGGAGCTGGTAAAAAAGATCTGAGCTGGAAACTATTAGTACAATCTTCACTCACACCTCATTGTTGCATAATGAAATCAAGGCAGGAACATGAACTGAATCTGAATTAAGGGAAAAAACAAAAAACAAATGTAGAAGTAAAAACAGCATAGGAGAGAAGCAGCTAATACAGTCCAGATGGTTGTCAGTTGAGGAGAAACGGAGTGGAGACAGAATTGACCTTTCCAGAAAATAAAAAATCTTCATGTACCGATTAAAAATAAAATAAAAACTTAATGTAATTTAGGAGAAACATATATAGGCTTTCTAACACTGAAACACAGATCTCTCACCCTCATGGCCTCGTAAAGACACAGTGAATGGTGTAAGGGATGGTGGCCACAGCCTCATGATTGACAGTCTGGGGTCACTATGAATAGTACCCCATGACTGCTTCTCGGACTAGTCCTCACGCAGGGCGGATCACCACACTGAGGCATGATTCAATGAGAGTCATGTGACCCCCAAGTCCAGGCCCCTGTAATGCAGGAGAACAATCTAGAACAGGCTGTGGAGTGGGCACTTCACATTCTTCAAGTTTATTTACTCACCATCTGTAATCTACTGACTGCGTGCAGCCTGGCAGGTGTGAAAAAACTTCGACAAATACAATAACCATCCTTACAGAGTCAGACATTCTGGAGGTGGGTGAGAGACCATTAACACATAAAGCGATGTTAGATGGTATAACATTGTAGGGAATGGAAAACACAGGACAAGGTGATGGGAGGCACAGCAGAAGGTAGGCAAAGGGTTATCACAGAGGACCTCAAGATATTGTGGGGGCAGAAACTAGCAAGGCAGGAGGAAATGGATCTGTGTCAGAGATGTGTGGTGGCTGAGGAAAATGCCGGCACAGAGGGTGCTTGACATGACTAGGTCACAGGCCGAGGCAGTGGGTGTGTTTCTGAAAGATGAAGGAGCCAGGGTGAAGTGAGAAGACGTGATACTAAGGGATGCAGGCCATCTTTTCTCTAGAAAACTCCTCAGTGTCGTCATTAAACATAAGTTAAAGGCTGTCCAGGACTGAAAGCATATGTCATGAAGAATCACCTTAATTTAAAACACTATATGTCAACATTCAAGAAAATCAACTACCCTGATAGACTTCCTGTCTACAGCCTGTCTATGCTGTTCAGAGGACACAGGTAACTTCTCTATCTGCAGGTTCAACAAACCTCAGATCAAACACTCAGAAAAGGGCAAGGGAGAAGGCTCACTGGGTAAGAGGATTAACTGTGTAAGCTTAGGGACCTGAGTTTGAATCCCTAGTACACACATGGCCACATGTGTCTATGACCCCAGTGACTCAGGTAAAAACAAATCCTAGAAGCTCACTGGCCAGCCAGTGTAGCCAAAAGAGTAAACTTCAGGTTCAGTGAGAGACCCTATCTCAAAGGAATAAGGCAGGAGGTAACAGAGGAAGTCATTGGATATCCTCTTCTGGACCTGGTATACACACACACACACACACACACACACATGCACGCACTCACACATGCACGTACGCACGCACACAAAGAAACAATTAGAAAACACTGTGTCTCTACTGAAGTTTCTTGTCTTTATCCCTAATCAATGCAGCATAGCAGTTATTTGCATGGCTAGTGTACACTGCACTAAGTTTAAGTAATTAAAAAAATACACACAAGAGTTATTCACCTATAATGCCATTTTATATTTGGGACCCGCAAATCCAATCTACAGATTTCTGTGTCTGAGGAAGGTTCTGCAAATGGCTGTATAAAGCATAAAAACTAAGTTTATAATTTCTGTCACTTGAATATTCATAGTCTATTCTAATTTTGCTACTTGTTGGAACTTTTGAAATGTTTAAAATGCAGATTTTACCTTCAGTAAGTGATGTGTGGGATCAAATTATCCCTTATGTTTAAGCCAAGAAGCTGCTGCAAGGCATCTCAGTTTGTTCCTTATACATCGAGAAAACTAGACTTCTGTGTTAGTCAAGTGCACCTTAGCTGACGTAAGACCCAGTGTTTGACTGGAGCTACCAATTATTAGTTATGTCATTTCTATAAAAACCTGCGATGAAGGGCTGGAGAGATGGCTCAGAGGTTAAGAGCACTGGCTGCCCTTCCAAAGATTCTGAGTTCAATTCCCAGCAACCACATGGTGGCTCACAACCATCTGTAATGGGATCTGAAACTCTCTCTTTCATGCATGCAGACAGAGTACTCATACCTAGAAAGTACATAAATAAATAAAATTGAAAACCTGTGATGATATTGGCAGATGCACTTGGCGGTATCATTTAAAGAAATGCTTGTGAAATTAAATGGAAACAATTACCTGCTCAGCCAGGAGAGAAGCCAAGCTCGAGTAGGCATCAGCAAAATCTGGACCATACTTAATGGATTCCTTCAGCAGCATGATGGCTTCTTCTGTTTTCTCCTGGGACCTGCAGACGGCATGGGAAGGACATCTTTCATTAGCACTTTAGTCCTCTGCTCAGACTTCAAATGTTCATTTCTTTTAGCAAAGATTGGGTGGTTCATTCTGGATTTTACTGTATCGGTATATATACTTGTTATGCCAGGCTGTGCCGAGGTCTAAATCTCTTCTCATGTCTGGATTCTCACTGGAAGGCACTGTGAAGGCCCCTGCCTCCTGCTGCTGTGGTTTGAATGTGGTCTGCCCCCACAGGCTCATGTATCAGAACATCACTTGGTCCCCACCAGGTGCTGTTATGGAAGGCTGTGGGTCTTGGAGCCAGGGTGGAGGATGGGGGCGGGGCATAGATCACGGGGGGGGGGGGGGGGTGGGGGTGGGGGTGGGGGTGGGTGGGTGGGTGGGGGTGGGGGTGGGGGTGGAGGTGGGGGGTGGGGCGGGGGGGGGGGGGGGGGGGCAGGCCCTGAGGTTTTACAGACCAGACTACTTCCTGTCCTTTTTACTGCTTCTTAACTGTGGATACAATGTCACCTCACACTCCTAAGGCCATGCCTTCCCTAACCAAGATGGGCTATATAACCTGTTATAATTGGGAACCTGAAGAAGCCCTTCCTCTCTTAAATTTCTGCTTGTCAGGATTTGGTCTTAGTGAGCGAGCACACCTGCCCTGCTGTGTTGGGGAGTTCTCCTGAAGAGTCTTCAAGTCTGTTAACAAGAAACACTGACCTCAGGGCAGCACTCTGGGCACGTCACCTGTTGGCTTGGACCGAGTATAAAGATGTGAAGATGGTCTGTGTCCTTTCTAACAGCACCACAAGCCAAAACCCTTTTTAAAAAGTATTTTTATGTTTATAAATGTGTATCACCATGTGCAGGTACCTACAGAGTCCAGAAGAGGGCACTGGATGCCCTGGAGCTGGAGTTACAGGTGTTATGAACCATTCAACATGGGTGCTGGGCACTCAGATCCTCTGGCAGAGCAACCAGTATTTTTAACTACTGAGCTTCACAAGCTGAATTCTTAATGGTGACTACTGGCCCAAAACATCCATCTATGGTTTATATCCAAGGAAGAAAATGTCACATACAATTTATGAAATTAGAAAACACTGTGACCACTGGCTGAAAAAGGATAGTCAATGCGCTGTTATATCCTCACTGTCTCAACTTTTATTATTCAGTCTTCTCTGGGACTTGAAGTCTGGCAATCTGCAAGTCCTAACCTTGGGTGAAAGACCTGTTTCCTGTTGGTTTGGTCCCTGGATCTCTCTGTCTTTGAAGCCAAAAAAACTCACACTTAGGCAGTAATAACTTTGTTACTGAAACAACTTCCACAGACACTGATGTTAAATGCCAGATATTATAAATGTAATAAATACAATGTAGTATGAAGAACAGGATCTCTGGAACCACAGACAGTCCATGGCCTCAAGGATCTAGGTCTAGTCCTTGGGGGCACCTTTTCCCATCAGGGACCAATACAAAGTCTGGTGCATGTGTTTTCACAACTCAACTTGGTATTAACTGTGTACCGGGCATTCTCATAAATTCTCATAGCATTATGAGTTCAGTTCTTACAGTGGCCCCATATGATAGATACTATACTCATCTTTCTAATTTAAAATTTCACATGCAGGAGAGTCAAATGGCTCTAGTTATGTTCACATCCTCTTCCAAATGCTTCTCCATTGTAACATGACCGCTTCATTTTCTTTGGGATAAGATCTAACTCTGTATGCCAGGCCACCCTTGAAATCAAATCCCTTGAGGAAAGATTCCCTATGGTGATATTTTATTTGTACTGAAATGTGATTTTAATTGTATGTTAATAAATGAAGTTGCCTGGGGGTCAGAGCTATTAGAGTCATAGCAAAAGTTGGGCGTTGGTGGTGCACACCTTTAATCCCAGAACTTGGTAGGCAGAGCTAGGTAGATCTCTGTATGTTCATGGATACAGCCAGCATTAGAGACACATGCCTTTAATCTCAATACCAACTATAGAAGACCTGGAGGTCTGTACAGACAGGCAGTGATGAGGCAGTCATGTGGTTGGGTTTACAACCAATGAGAAGGCAGAACAAAAAGTCTATATAAAGACAAACAGACAGAAAGTAGGTCTCTTTTGGAGAGGTCTCTTGGCTGAAGAGGCTAGCTGCAGCAGGCGGCTAAGGCTCTTAGCTCTGCTCTCTTGGCTTTCTTCTTTGCATTGGTTCTGTGTTTCTTATTTAATAAGACGGTTGGTTACATCTACAATTCCCGCAGGAGACCACTTTAAAATAAGACACTAGGGTCCTAACACTCTGAGTGTGTGCTCTCTGTGGCCTTTGTCTTGGATCTTATTCATCTTTTTGGTTTTTTGTTTGTTTGTTCATTTCTTTTAGCTAAGATTGGGTGGTTCGTTCTGGATTTTACTGTATCGGTATATATACATGTTATGCTAGGCTGTGTGGAGGTCTAAATCTCTTCTCAGAAGTCTACCCTCATCCCCAAGAGCTTTCTATTCAGAGTGTGATTCATGCACTAGAGTGAATGTCACCTGGCAGCTTGCTGAAAATATAGAAACTCAGGCCTCATCCATACCTCCCAGGTGATCTATGTGGGCACTGAGATCTCAGCATACCTATGCCATGTGTACTCAAGGGCTGCAAGGATCAAGGTCATTCATTCCTAATACCAGGCCTTCTCTCCTACCCCTCCGCAGGTCCAGGGTCTGTAGAATGTAGTTTCAATGCTTCAGTGACTGAAGCAGCTTGTTACCAGTCAGTTTCACCTAGAAGGTAGATTCCTATCATAGACTTGGGAGTAAAAAGTCACAGTTTTAAAAGTCCTTGGAGTTAAGGATTCAATTTGGTAGATGTGGTTTCAATGACAATGGCCTCCATAGGATCATAGAGAGTGGCATTATTTGATGTATGGCTTTGTTGGAGTAGGTATGGCTTGTTGGAAGAAGTGTGTCACTGGGGGGGTAGGATTTGGGGTTTCAAATGCTCAAGCCAGGCCCAGTGTCTCTCTCTTCCTGCTACCTGCTGATCCAGATGTAGAACTCTCAACTCCTTCTCCAGGACCATGTCTGCCTGCACACTGCCATGCTTCCTGCCATGATGATAATGGACTAAATCTCTGAAACTATGAGCCAGCACCAATTAAATGTTTTTCTTTATAAGAGTTGCTGTAGTCATGGTGTCTCTTTACAGCAAACAGAAAATCTAACTAAAGCCAGACATGGTGGTGCACACCTTTAATCCCAGCATTGGGGAGACAGAAGCAGGCAGATCTCTCTGAGTTCAAGGCCAGCCTGGTCTACAAAATGAGTTCCAGAACAGCTAAGGCTGTTACACAGAGAAACTCTGTCTCAAAAAACCAAAAAGAGCTGGGTGGTGGTGGTGCACTCCTTTAATCCCAGCATTCCAGGAAGCAGAGGCAGGCAGTTCTCTGTGAGTTCAAGGTCAGCCTCGTCTACAAAGAGAGTTCCTAGACAGCTAGGCTGTTACACAGAGAAACCCTGTCTCAAACAAAAACAAAAACAACAACAAAGAAGCCCCCACAAAACCAAAAAGAAAAAAAAAAGAAAGAAACCTTAACTAAGACAGAAGTTGGTACTAAGAGTGGGGTATTGGTATGATGGGCCTAACTCTGCTTTTGTTTGGAAGAATGTAGACTTTGGGACTTTGGATTAGGAAAACAGTTAAGTGCTTTAAATGGGGCTTAATGCACCATACTAGTAGGAACTTGGGAGACAGTGTTGCTGAGGGTGATTTGAACTGGGGAGAGCCTTACTTATGAGGTTTCAGGGGAGAAGAATATTAGTGTGTGACCTAAAGACCATTCTTGTGATATTTTGTCAAAGAATGTGGCTGCTTTTTGCCCTTATTAAAAAAAATATGCCTAAGGCTAAATTGAAGAGTTATGGATTAACAGCATTGGCATAGGAGATTTCCAGAGAGCCTAGTATAGACTGTGTTGCTAGTGGCCAGTCTTATGCAGATCTATAAGGAAAAGGAGCAAGCTGAGAAAGGAAAAATACAAAATGTACAGTTTGAGGAGAAAAGGGAAACCAGGAAAAGTTTAAAGAAAAGCCTGATGCTAAATAGAATAAAGGGAGTGGTGACCTCATGGCAAGACCCCACCCAGCTAAGCTTTCAGCTTGTGAAAAGGAATTAAAGTAAAGCTTGATGGTGCATGCCTTTAATCCCAGCACTCAGAGAAAACAGAGGCAGGCAGATCTCTGTGTTTGAGGTCAGACTGGTCTACAGATCAAGTTCCAGGACAGCTAAGCTTAGACAGTGAAGGAAACCATTGAAAACAGAAAGCTGGTGAAAAATGTATTCGCATGAAGTGGCCATGTTCTAGAACTCCCACATCAATCAATAATCAAGAAAATACCCCACAAATATGCCCACAGGTGAGTCAGATGATGGCACTTCCTAAATTAAGGTTCCTTCCCCCTGAGTGACTCTAATTTTTATCAAGTTAATTAAGCTAACCAGCAAAGGCAGATGCTGTCTACCTCTTCTCCTCACTGTGATCTGGTTAGCTCCTAATTGGCTCTCCTGCATGCATGCTCCAGACTTTGATAGCAGGGGGTTAATAGCCCAGTCCTTCAAGGACTCATCCTTGAACTGGGGCCTTAAAGATGAAAGTTATAATTCTTGTTGATTCACTTGGTCAACAAGAGTTCATGAAGGTTGTGCACTACTCTATAGAGCTTGTGAGTTTTCACACATGTATGTTCTCTCACAAACACACTAAAAGTCACTCTTCCATTTGTATATTTTTTTAAAGCAAAAATGCATTTTTTAACCCTGTAATTTGACCACTGATTTTATGGTTAGAACTCCAAAGAGTCTTCACTAAGTAGAATTTAGAAATGCTGCTTGAATCTAAGGGAACATATAGACTTATAAAATTAAGGCAGAAAATTAGTCCCTACAGGACATTATTTAGCTGGAAATTCTTCAAAATCAGCAGAGGGGGAAAAAACTACAAGAATTTTATAATAATGGGTTAGTG